CTGATATTTTCAATGCTAGGCTCATATTGATAAGGCTTCATCTTTCTAATTTATTGTGTATTAGAGTTGAAACTTTTTTTAGCCAACATATGGTAGAGTTACAATTTGAATAGAAGAAAATCAATGAATCAAAAATGTAGAATAAATTTTTGGTTGTGGTTAATAACATTTAATGAAATTTGTGCCCCTCTATGTAGAATAAATTTGAACATTCTGCAAAACCCCTCTATGCTTTCGTTTCCAGTACAAGTCTTCCTCGTTTGTCTCCTGACCAGAGGTCTTGTTCGTTCAATCGTGTATGATAATCGTATATAAATAGGTGTTGACTGTTCTTGATCTTTGGATCTTGTCCATTGCTGCGATTACAGTTTAGTACTCCTCAAAAACACAGGCGGTTCTAATTGGCAAAGGACTAACTAACATGATATTCTTTCTCAATCAAGATAAACACACATTGCACTTGTTTCTTGTTCTAGTATAGCAAGAAAATGATCCTAAATGTTTTTAGATTCATTTCAGAAATATACACCAAAAAGATTCAGTCACAACCCTAAGACAAAAGAAGCCACAATCCCTTTAACATAGTAGTAGGCTAATTAAACCATTCAAAAGATGGCATTTTACGCAGCAAAATCATTAGTAGCAAGAACCTAAAAAGATTTCTTCTTGTTGTTTATCTCGAATTAATCAGAACCTCCTACGTCTGCAAGCTTGGCGGAGAAGTTCAGTTTCTTGATATTCAGTTTCATCTCCTCACCAAGCAATGCTTTCCATTCATCAATTAGCTCTTTTCCTTTCTCGGCTTCAAGGTTCCTCAGATTCTGAAGCAAGAACTTCTGGTGATTTCTACCTGAACTCGGAAACAATAACAATGTCGCCTCGAGTGCATCCTGCAGAACACCAAACTCATCCGCACCAGCTGTCTCACTCTTCTTCTCTTTCTCACCATTATCAACCTTCTTCTCTCTCTTGCCATTATCCTTTGTAATTACATTACTCCCTCGCACATCCTTATTCAAAACAAGAACAAACTTAAGATCATCACATACTAGTAATATAAAAATTCTCAAATGGTAGAACACAAGGAACATTCACTCACCTCTGCTTTCTCCACATTCTCATTAATCTGCTCATTCTCCACATCAGTCACATGACTCACATCCTAATTCAAAAAAAAAGATCAACGACTCATTAGCTAATAACAAATATTACATAATGTTTTGAGAACACAAGGAACACTCACACACCTCTGGTTTCTCCACATTCTCATTAATCTGCTCATGCTCCACATCAGTCNNATCCTTATTCAAANNAAAAGATCAACGACTCATTAGTAAAATCAAGTTTTACATAATGTTTTGGTGAACACAAGGAACACTCGCTCACCTTTGCTTGCTCCATATCCTCATTAATCTGCTCATGCTCCTCCACATAAGTCACATCCTTATTTCAAAACAAGAACAGAATATCAATAACGCATTAGTAACACCAATGTTCTAGCGATAGAGTACTAAAGCAGATTGGTAGAACAAAAAACATGCAAACACTCACTCACCTTCCCTTGGTCCATATTCACATTAGAACCAACTTCTTTTTCATTTTTCTTTCCCCATATGATCAATGACAATTTGAAGATTTCATCGTCATCAACATTAGTAAAAGAAGGTCCTTTCCCATCGTCAGATTTAGCAACGTTATCTGTGAATCTCTTCTTCAACTTTCTGACCTTGCTCCTTAGCTGCAACTTAGAGAAGTTTGATACAATAGAACCTTTGACATAGCTGTGAAACCCATCCCAATCAGATCTGTAGCTCAATTTCGTTTCGTCCTCATAGTCCACAATACCCTTTTTCCACATTAAACAAATCAAAACAAGAACGCTTAAAGTAAGAAACAGAGTAAAGAAGAATATAAAAATAGACATAAAGGTAGAGACTTTTTCTACAAACCCTGAGAATGAGGAGCTCGTCGTTCTTAGTCCAAGTAATCTTCGGAGCAGTGGAAGAAGAAGTTACCAATTTCGGTGTTGTTGTTGTCGTCGAACTCTTTGGTCTCTTTCTTCTTATGAGCCTCGCCTCCTTGTCGGAGACAGCT